GTGTACCTTTCCCAGGTATATGTGGATGTTGGAGGAGCAAATATGAGACTCGGCAATTTCAGGTCTATTTCAAACTTTTAATTTTTACGCTGGGTCCATGTCCCATTTTGGGGCATTTGACAGGTTGAGAATTCAAACTTCCCCTACAAAGGCCTACCATTTTTTTAAGAAGACACCCCAGGGTATTTCAAAAGGCCCATTTTGAACCTTAGGGTGGGATCATTTTTTCGCTAGTGAGTACCAAGTCTAGTAGTAGTAAGCATTTTCTCTGCCTTTTTGACACATACTTTGAGATTTTACTGCATAGTTTACAATCCTTAGGTGTGCTACGGCAGTGTAACGCTTCATATGTCACTCAGCTATGTCGTCTGAGTACAGCAATACCCCTGTGTGTACCTTTCTCAGGTATATGTGGATGTTGAAGGGACAAATTTGAGGCCATTTCAGGTTTGTTTCAAACTTTGAATTTGCATGCTGGGTCCATGTCCCATTTTGGGTCAAACTCTGAGGCACTGTCTGTCACCTCTGAATCCACTGTCAGAATTCTCTAACTGTACTTCATAAGCATTTTAAACTTTTTACACAAGAACTTTAACAAAACAATGTTATTTTATTTTTTTGTTGTTTTTTTAAATTTGTATTTCTACCCCTAGCATACGCACTACTAACTCCCCAATTTCCCAGGAACTATCATCCACCCCAATTAACTAAATAAAAGGTAAAAAAAAAATTATATATATATATATATATATATATAAATATATATATATATATATAGTCAGTGGTTAAATAACAGAAGAACTACAACAAGAATATTAATTTTATTGAGAATTTATTGGCTCTGAGTATGAAATAATTTAAAACAGTTCCCAATACAAAGGCCAGGCTGAGAGGGACAATCAGGGCAGTAGAAACTGGTCTCCGTTCGAATGCCTCTCTGGTAACACAGCCTGCACCTTTTCTGGGGTGTCTTTTTTTGGGGGGTTGTTGGTATCCGAAAGCAGAAGTGACCTCTCTGAATATCTCTGCTGCTAGGCCCTACTGATGGCTCCCCACTGTGGCACTCAGTGAGCAGCACAGAAATTAGCTGAAACTGAAATGTAAATAAAATACATTTCAGCTGAGGATTTGCCTTTTTGAAAAGGATGAATGCATTGTGAGTAGCCATTTGCATTAAATAAATGCCCACTTTCTTATACCAGGCCCTGGTCTTTCTCATTATCAGATATGGCTGCAGCAGTTGATCAGACATGTCAACTCCCCCCATGTGTTTATCGTACTGCTTAATGCAGACAGGCAGCCATCTTGTTTCCTGTCTGCCATGAACTGCGACCCTGCGTGTGTGTTCACTGTGCATGGTAGTCAGTATGAACACCTCCTTTTTGTCTCTGTATTTCAGAGCCAGCAGTTCGTCCTGGCATAGAGCAGCCGTTTCCCCCTTTTTAATTTTTTTCTCTGCCAGAGCCTTGTGGAAGCCAGTGCGTGTCTTGCGGATAGTGCCGCAGACCACAGTCTCAAAACAATATAGCATTTTTTGGAGGGGTATGTTATTATAATAATTATCAAGGTAGAGGTGGTACCCCTTGTTCAGTAGCGGGTTCATTAGATCCCAAACTATTTTTCCGCTAGTCCCAAGTACATCAGGGCAACCTGGGGGATCCCGGTGGCTATCTTTACCTTCATATATTCTGAAGGTATAAACATACCCACTGCTACTTTCACATAACTTGTATAGCTTGATGCCATACCGGGATCTTTTGGCTGGATTGTATTGCTTGAACCCCAGTCTACCCTTGTATTTCATTAGGGACTCGTCAATACATATATTCTTTTGGGGAGTATAAATTATGCTAAATTCTTTATTAAAATGGTTAATTAGTGGGCGGATTTTATAGAGTTTGTCATACTGCGGATGATCTTTGGGGTGGCACTTCGAGTTATCATTGAAGTGCAGAAAACGCAGTACTGTTTCGTATCTGGGCCTACTCATGGTCTGAGAGAAAATGGGAGTATTGCATATACTGGGTTTTTGGACCAGTACATTCGGATGCTGGGCTTTTTTATAATTCCCATTAGCATGGTTAGTGCCCAGAACTGTTTTAACTTTGGCACACTGGTGGGGTACCAGCTCCCTTTTGTGGCAAGGTGACTTGTTGCATTTTGTGCCAGATACTGCGCTGCATAAATATTTGTTTGTGTAGCTATCTACCCTAAAAAATCATCCCCAAGGAACAGCTCCATAAAATCCTGGGAGTTATAGCTGGTCAGGTCTCCCTGAATACCAGGAGTCGCAGTGAACAGAGGGATGTCGGGGACAAAATTGTTAGGGGGCACGCAGATATCAGCGCCAGGAGCAGTGCCAGGGGTATCGTCACTTTCTTCATCTGTGTCTGGCACATAGTCACCCTCTGCACTCTCTGAGGCAGTGTCGTTTGCCTCTGAGTCGGATGCTAATGTATTATATGCCTCCTCGGCACTAAACCTTCTAAGCATGGTGAAAGCTTAAAATTATCTTTAACTAAATAACTTATTTTTTTGTTTTGTTTTTTTAACTTTTTTTTATACTTTTTTTAAATACTTTTTTAAACTTTTTTAAAACTCTTAAAAACTTTCTAAAACTTCTAAAAACTTTTTAAAAAATGAACCCCTGTGGTTAAAAACAGGAATCATATCACCGTGCTTACACCTAGCGAAGCAGAAATGCTTAGACTTAAAATAAACTACTTTTTTTTTCTCTTTTTTTCACTTTTTTTATACTTTTATAAACGTAATAACTTTTACAAACTTTTAATAACTTTCTAAAACTTTTCAGCTTCCTAGCTACACGAATGCTAGATTCCCCAATTCCCCCTAGCTTCAATCCACCCCAGCTAACTAATTAACTGAAAATAATAGTAAAAAATTTTTTTTTTTTATATATTTAACCCCTGAGGGTTAAAAAGAAAATAAAGTTAACCCCTGAGGGTTAAAAAAAAACCTCTGATCTCAGTAAAGTACTGTGATCAGTATTGTGATCACTGCTGCCAGGGTTAAACCCTTGTTAATTTTCACAGGTAAAGGAGGTAAAAAAATTTTTTAAACTTTTAAACACTTTGTGTCTGTCAGGGACACAAAGTTTCAAACGATCCATCTCTCTCCACTTCTAAACACACACAGAGGTGGAGGGAGGAGGATCAGAATTCCCAGCAGCACTGTGATCGCTGTGACTGGCTGTCACAGCGATCACATGTGCTGGGACAGCGCTACTGGCTGTTGCTGGGCTTCCTCAAACGCCGAGGTACCCAGCAACAGTGTTAACCCCACGATCGCCGCGATTGCGGCGATCTGGCGTTAACTTTAGTAATTGACGGAAATTTTCCGTCAAGCGTCCTTAAGGGTAGGTCTGCCTTGACGGAAAATTTCCGTCCAGCGTCGTTAAGGGGTTAATGTCAGCCACCAAGCCTAAAAATATTCAACATGATGATCTTTTTTAAAGTCCCTATAACCCCACAAGCTCCAGGACTGTTTCCAGGAATATGATTATTAACTACCTGAGGAGCTGGGATAAAACCGCCTCTTGGGCCACGATTAAGGGGTCCTGCTTTAAGGATTCTAAACACAATTTTCCCTCTGTAAAGTTGTATAAATAAAACCTACACCTTTAAGTGAAGCGCTAAAATATATGTGCAAAATTGTGTAAACTTACCCCACGTAACCTTGTTACAATCTTTGACTTGTGGTACATATAAAAGATAAAAAATACAATATAGTGCTGATGGTATATGTAGGATAGGATAAAATAAATATCCTCACATTTAAAGGAGCCTTTATTTAAATACTGGCTCCATAATTGGGCTTCTATGCTTTTAGGGCAGCATCACACTTCCAATCCGCTGCAAGATATTTCTCAATGAAAAAACAATGGAGAGAAGGGAACCAAAGTTCAGTTTGTTAATAAAATCAAGTTAAAAAGGTGCAATAAGTATAATGTGCACCTTATTCAGAGCCTTACAATCCTAGCTCTGAGATGTAATGGTGTTTGGCCAATTTTGTGGGGCTGGCACTACCCCTATGAACAATCGGAATCTGGAGCCTTCCGAAACATTTGAATCTACCTTCTCTTATGTACCTGCCACAGAAATAATAATTGCATCTATGAATTTATTATTCTCCCATTCTATACATTAGTTGCACTCCTTACTCGCGACCCCATATGACGGACATCACAATCCCTTCCCATGTGGTTAAGTTAGGCCACTCCTGTTTGGTCTTGTTTAGCAGATGGTGTTTGTCCCATTCTAAATATAATAAAAATGAGGCTTCATTATTATTCTGGGGGGTACATATGTTTCATGTTTCTTTTGGATATGATACTTGAACACTAGGCTAATGATCATTAACATATTTTAAAAAATCCCTTCATTAATTACAAGGTACATGCCAAATGGTTGATTAATTCACATCCATATGGTAAAATCCTTTTCACATCCCTATGTCATTCAAACTACCCCTTCTGTCATCTGACCTCTGTGGGGGTCCCAGCTTCAAAAAATTTAACCTTTTGACCTCCATACAATCAGATTAACCCCTTTTGACAATGGCAATACCATCTCTGCCAGGCCGGCAGGTCCTTAATGCGCTACCCAAATTACATTAAAGGACAATATTCCATAATGTAATAATAAATTAGACACAAAAAATAATAAGTTTAATTATAAGAGAAGGTAAAAAAATAAGGAAAATATATATCCAAGGGCTTAAAATGCAAATAGTAAGCAGTGTAAAATCTCAAAAAGATAAAGTCACCGCAAGAAGCCCAAATGGAATAAAGTCCCCAAAACAGCAAACGAGTTTTGACTCTGTAGGGAGTCTTCATCAGTGCTGCTCAGAACTCAAAAAATCTTGCTTAAATATCCCTCCTTGATCAATGTCCTCGCTACACCTGAGTAGAGATGTCGCGAACCGTCCGCGAACTTCTCGCGAACGGTTCGCAACGAACCGTTCGCGGCAAACTTCGGTCAGCTGACACATCCCGGTCAATCTCCAGCAGACCCTCCCTCCCAGACCCTCCTACTTCCTGGACAGCATCCATGTTGAAGGCAGCTTCAACATGGATGCTGTCCAGGAGGTGGGAGGGTCTGGGAGGGAGGGTCTGCCGGAGATTGGCAGGGATGTGTCAGCTGACCGGAGAACCGTGGCGAACTATTTGCGAGAAGTTCGCGGACGGTTCGCGACATCTCTACACCTGAGTCCTCTCCATCGCATCATAACTGGAGAGACGTTCCGCGTCATTTCAGGTTGACCATTTATAAAAAAAAATATATATACTAATTGAAAAAAAATGAACTAACTCAAAATCCAAATTTAGTCACTTAGGACATAAGCATCTAATGAAAAATCAATTTGCTGTCAATTTTGCACAATTCTTTAAAATTATCCTCACCCCTCCAATTAATATCTTTTTTATCACTAGCCATAAAACTCAGCAAAGAAGAATCCTTATGCTAAAGAAAGTGTGCAGGTACGCTGTGCTCGGTGTATCCCCTCTGGATATTTCCCATGTTCTCCAGAATGCGGAATTTCAAACTCCTTGTTGTCATACCCACATACTGCAAGCCACAGGGACATCAGAGGAAATACAACACATTAGAAGTATGGCATGTCAAAACAATTTTTATTTTGCCAGATATATTAGACATAAAAGATGTGTAAGTTTACTTTTTAAACACAGTCTTTTTGCATGTCAGCACATTTTACAAGGATAAAGAAAAAACTTTTGATTAAATAACTTTTGTACCTCTACGGTCTAATAAAACTCCTTACTAAGTTGCTTTTTACATTCTTTGCAAAAAGAAAAACCACATCACGTGACAATGCGGGTGCTAAACTGGGCCAAGGGCCAGCCCCAGGGAGTAGATCTCAGTGGAAGAAAGAGGATCCAGGCACTCCAAGTATCTTCAATTTTATTTATTAGGACAAGTGAGACGACGCAAGATTGACAAAGACCCTTTCAGGGGTGGAAACGTCACTTATTCTAATAAATAAAATTGAAGATATAGTTACATTATTTTACAGAGTTTTGTGTCATCTGCAAACACTGAAACATGACTTTCAATGTTTTTTTCAAGATCATTTATAAACATGTTACATAGAATGGGTCCCAGAACAGACCCATGAGGGACACCACTTGCCACCTCTGTCCAGCTTGAAAATTTACCATTAATGACAACTCTTTGTACTCTATTTCTAAGCCAATGTTCTACCCAAGAACAAGCATTTTCATCTAGACCGATTTCCTTGAGTTTGAACACTAATCTATTGTGCGGAACTGTATCAAATACCTTGGCAAAATCCAAATAGATCACATCCACGGCAACACCCTGATCTATACTTCTACTTACTTCTTCGTAGAACGCAATCAAGTTAGTTTGACATGACCTGTGCTTCATAAAACCGTGATGATTTTTGCTAATAACCATGTTCTTCTCAAGGAATTCTTGAATATTATCCCTTAATAACCTTTCAAATATTTTCCCAGACACAGAAGTTAAGCTCACAGGTCTATAATTTCCAGGCAAGGATTTTGAAGCCTTTTTGAATATAGGAACCACATCTGCCTTCCTCCAATCCTCCATAATACTTCCTGAAAGAAAAGAATCTTGAAAGATTAAAAACAGAGGTTCACTTATTTCTGCACTTAGTTCCTTAAGTACACGTGGATGGAGCTTTGTTTATATTAACTTTCTTTAGTTGCTGCAGCACCTTGTCTTGAGTTAACCAATTACAATTATTCTGCAAGCTTTTAGCAGCAATCATTTGCACATCTATTGCCATGGGTTCTTCATTAATATATACGGAGGAAAAATAGTTATTTAAAATTCCTGCCTTTTCCTGGTCTTGATTAACTAACACCCCCATTTCAGTTTTTAGTGTACCTACACTTTAATTTTTTTTTTTTTAGAATTTATTTTCTTAAAGAATGCTTTGGGGTTGGTTTTGCTCTTTTTAGCTATCCTTTTTTCATTTTGAAGTTTAGCAAATCTAATTGCCTTTTTGCACGCATTATTAGCTTCCTTAAATCTTTTATAAGATGCATCTGATTTGTCCGATTTAATGCCCTTTTCGCATTTTTAATCTCTTGTTTTACTTCTCTACTAAGAAACATTTAGAGTTGAGCGAACCCGAACATTACGGTTTTTGGACCCCGGACCAGAATTCATACATTTCACTGTATGTTCGGGTTGGAGTTCGGCGATTTAATGGTGCTTTTTGAAAGGCTGCAGGGTAGCCAATCAACAAGCGTTTGACTTGTGTGCCCTTAGAAGCCATCACAGCCATGCCTACTAATGGCATGGCTGTGATTGGCCAGTGCAGCATGTGAGCGATCTACCAAAAGACTGAAAGACCTAAATTGGTCTTTCAGCCATATTTACTAATACTAAGTAAAGATTACTTAGAATTAGTAAATTATACCCCTACTCGCTATACCGCGAGTAGGGGCGTGTCTAGTAAACAGTGAGCAGCCAGTGGCTGCTCACTGTAAAAAACAAAAACCTATTGGCCCCCACCCCTGAACGGCGGGTGTGGGCCCTAAAGTAAAATAAGGGGGGGGGACCTACTGTCCTCCCCCCGGCCCCCACTCCTGAGCGGTGGGTGGGGGCCCTAAATAACAATGAGGGGGGGGGACCTACTGTCCTCCCCCCGTCCCCCTATCCCCAGGACAGTAGCCCCCCCACTCTCATTCTTATTTAGGGCCCCCACCCACCGCTCAGGGCTGGGGGCCAGGGAGGGAGGACAGTAGGTCATCCGCCCCTCAATCTTATTTAGGGCCCCCACCCGCCACACAGGGGTGGGGGCCAGGGGGAGAGGGCAGTAGGTCACCCGCCCCTCATTGTTATGTAGCCAATGGCTTCTTTACTACCTGGAGAACGCATGTGCTGGGCCAATAAAACTGCTCCTAATTTACATTCAATAACCCTGATCTAAGGATATATACACATCACATATTATCCCAGCACACAATGTAATCAACATCCTACAGAAACAGTGGTAGTGTGGTGCCATTTATCAGCCTTTCCCTTACGACACACTGTATAGTGAGTTCTTGACACATCAAAGCACTTTGTTGTGTTATATTTAGGTGTAACTAAAAGTATCCCTGTAAAAGAGGGCCTTCTGAAAGCTGTGTATATGTAAGGCTTGCTACACATTATATCATCATTATGTATGCCATTTGGAACCTATCACCCATTTTTTAACGAAATCCCCCTCTCTTTTAGGATCCTTTAAATGGGCTTACTCAGACACAATGGAGGCCTAATTAATTCCATCACCCGATATGGCGTTCACTTCGGGAAAATTATCTATACAGTTCAGTAAACTAAGTGTGCAATCCCTATCACCATCTTTGTATTGATAAGGATTGTAATAGACAACAGATTTCTAGGGGCACTTAATATATCATTAATAAATATACCCTGTAGCACTTAATATATCATTAATATATATATACCCTGTGGCACTTAATATATTGTGTATCCTTAATATATCATTAATATATACACCCTGTGCCATTTCATATGTTGTGTACCCTTAATATGTCATTAATATATATATACCCTGCGGCATTTAATATATTGTGTACCCTTACATAGTTACATAGCTGAAAAGAGACTTGCGTCCATCAAGTTCAGCCTTCCTCACATTTGTTTTTTGCTGTCGATCCAAAAGAAGGCAAAAAAACCCAGTTTGAAGCACAATTTTGCAACAAGCTAGGAAAAAAATTCCTTCTTGACCCCAGAATGGCAGTCAGATTTATCCTTGGATCAAGCAGTTATTACCCTACATTGAAAGATTATATCCTGGAATATTCTGTTATTGCAAGTATGCATCTAGTTGCTGTTTGAACATCTGTTTGGACTCTGATAAAACCACTTCTTCAGGCAGAGAATTTCCCATCCTGCTTGTTCTTACAGTAAAAAAAACCTTTCCTTTGCCTTAGACGAAATCTTCTTTCTTCCAGTCTAATCGCATGGCCTCGTGTGCTATGTAAAGTCCGGTTTGTGAATAGATTTCCACACAATGGTTTGTATTGGCCCCAAATATTTTGTATAATGTTACCATATCCCCTCTCGGGCAACGTTTTTCTAAACTAAATAGGTTTAAATTTGTTAACCTTTCTTCATGGCTGATATTCCTTTTATTAATTTTGTAGCCCGCCTCTGCACTTTTTCTAGTGCCATAATATCCTTCTTTAGAACAGGTGGTCTTACCAGTGATTTATAAAGAGGCAAAATGATATTCTCGTCCCGAGAATGAATGCCCTTTTTCATGCATGAAAATACCTTACTGGCCTTGGCCACTGCTGATTGACATTGCACATTGTTGCATAGTTTGTTGTCTATAACAATTCCCAAGTCCTTTTCGTGTGTTGTTATCCCTAATTCACTTCCATTAAGGGTATACGTTGCTTGTGTATTCTTTACACCGAAGTGCATAACGTTGCATTTTTCAACATTAAATTTCATCTGCCATTTGAGTGCCCAGTCCCTCAGTCTATCTAAATCCCTCTGCAGCAAAGTAATATCTTGCTCACATTGTATTATTTTACAAAGTTTTGTGTCATCTGCAAACACTGAAAGATGAGGGACACCACTTGCCACCTCTGTCCAGCTTGAAAATTTTCCATTAACGACAACTCTTTGTACTCTGTTTTTAAGCCAATGTTCTACCCAAGAACAAGCATTTTCATCTAGACCGATTTCCTTGAGTTTGAACACTAATCTATTGTGTGGAACTGTATCAAATGCCTTGGCAAAATCCAAATAGATCACATTCACTGCAACACCCTGATCTATACTTCTACTTACTTCTTCGTAGAACGCAATCAATTTAGTTTGACATTAGTTTGTGCTTCATAAAAGCGTGATGATTTTTGCTGATAACCATGTTCTTCTCAAGGAATTCTTGAATATTATCCCTTAATAACCTTTCAGATATTTTACCAGCCACAGAAGTTAAGCTCCATAATTTCCAGGCAAGGATTTTGAACCCTTTTTGAATATAGGAACCACATCTGCCTTCCTCCAATCCTCCGGAACACTTCCTGAAAGAAAATAATCTTGAAAGATTAAAAACAGAGGTTCACTTATTTCTACACTTAGTTCCTTACGTACTCGTGGATGGATACCGTCAGGCCCTGGAGCTTTGTTTATATTAACTTTCTTTAGTTGCTGCAGCACCTTGTCTTGAGTTAACCAATCACAATTATTCTGCAAGTTTTTAGCAGCAATCATTTGCAAATCTATTGCCATGGGTTCTTCCTTAATATATACGGAGGAAAAATAGTTATCTAAAATTCCTGCCTTTTCCTGGTCTTCATTAACTAACACCCCCATTTCAGTTTTTAGTGTACCTACACTCATTTTTTTTAAAGAATTTATGTACTTAAAAAATGCTTTGGGGTTGGTTTTGCTCTCTTTAGCTATCATTATTTCATTTTGAAGTTTAGCAAATCTAATCGCCTTTTTGCACGCATTATTTGCCTCCTTATATCTTTTATAAGATGCATCTGATTTGTCTGATTTAAATGCCCTGTCTTAGTTGTAATCTCTTGTTTTACTTCTCTACTAAGCCACATTGGTTTTAATTTGTTTATTTTATATTTATTACCCAATGGTACATACTGAGAAATGTACCTTTGTAATATTTGTTGGAAGATGATCCATTTATCCTCAATGTTCTTTTCACTAAAGAGTTTATGCCAGTCAATATATTGTAAAGCTTCCCTTAACTTATTGAAATTGGCCTTTTAAACTTTATATGTTTTAGTATACCCCATGTGCTTTTGTTTTTTTGAGTTCATTTCAAAGGACTATTTCCCAAGTGCTCACCTACTTGAATGTTGGTCAAAAGATCAACGTTGTTTGTTAAAACCAGGTCCAGACAAGCGTCCATTCTAGTTGGTGCTTGTACAAGTTGTGACATGAAGGTGTAATTTAACAAGTTTAAAAACCTAATTCACTTTGCTGAGCTACTAATCCCTCTGTCCCAATTTATGTCCGGGTAACTAAAATCTCCAATAATTAAAGTGTTACCCAGATTTGCAGCTTTCTCAATTTGCTCAAACAGCTGTTGTTCCTCGTCAATATTAACATTAGGTGGTTTATAACATATCCCAACCAATAGTTGATTTCCCTTATTTTCCCCCAAGCAGATATTTACCCATAAAGCTTTTTTTTTTTACCCACATTTTCCTCATCGCATTCCATTTGAACCCTTAATATATCATTAATATATATACCCTGTGCCATTTAATATATTGTGTACCCTTAATATATCATTAATATATATACCCTGCAGCACTTAATATATTGTGTACCATTAATGTCATTAATATATATACCCTGCGGCACTTAATATATTGTGTACCCTTAACATATCATTAAAATATATATATATATATATATACATATATATATATATATATATACATACACACACCCTGCGGCACCTAATATATTGTGTACCCTAAATATATCTTTAATAGATATACCCTGCGGCACTCAATATATCATTAATACCGTATTTTCCGGCGTATAAGACGACCCCCAACTTTTCCAGTTAAAATACAGAGTTTGGGATATACTCGCCGTATAAGACTACCCCTCTTCCAATGCACACCAAATAAAAATTAGCCATGATGTACAGTGAGCAGACAGAGCTACACAGCAAGACATTAAATAATAATGATAATAATTATCATTATTATTATTAGCCAATCATTACATTGGCTTCTTCTACCCTTCAAGACCCAATTCAGACTACTAACATCTACCTACAAAGCCCTCAAAAATTCCACTCTTCACTATATTTTTTCTTTACTAACAAATACACACCTTCTTATTCCCTTTGCTCTGCGAGCGACCATGATTTTTTCATCTGCTTGTTCCTGCAAGTTGTCTTATCCCTCAGACCCTCCTCCGCTCTGACATTCTGTTATACCTCTTCTGTGTTTTTGTCTTTACCCCTTTCTCAAAGACTATAAGCAAGTTGAAATATACTCCCCCCCCCCATTCTTTTTACACTTTTTTTTTTTTTTACATTTAGAACTTGCCAAATATTTGCATCATTATATATAGGCAGCAAATGTATTCAATTCACAATAACCACAATTACCAATCTGTGCCACGGGGTGGCGTAATTGCTCTTGCAATCAGACTTCATATATGTTTATATGTTTTATTTCCTGTGTTACTGGGATATCATGCTTTGTGGAAAAAAAGGAAAGGGTGGTTATTGTTATGGAACCACAGGTGGCAATCAGTACCTAATATAATGAATAAAAATAAAAATGGTTTTATCTTTATTGCACACAATGTAACATAACCTAACATAAGTGTTTTAAAATAAATGATGAAAAAAAACCTACCACATTAATAATAAAAAAAAAAGGTCTAGATATCAGGACCTGTCATAAAATATAATATAAATACCACTATCAAAGAAAAAAGAAAATCTGAAAGCAAAAATAGTATAGACTATAGAATTTTAGTCCTGTCCAGTAGGATTGCTGGTTGGAGGTCACCCTAGAGTAGTGTTGCCATGGTCGGGAAATATACTTTTTACTCCCCCACCCGCCCGACTGGGAATGTTAACAAAAAGAGTAGCCGTAAAATAGCAACAAAAAATTTTTTTACAATGCAGCCAGAGATAAAAAGTTTGGAAAAAGACCAGGATCAAAAACATTTATCATTTTTCTAGTTTTAACCACTTTCTGCCTAGTAAACATTCTTACAAGAAATGGCCAGATTCCACCAAAATAGTCACATAATGTCCATATTCAGTTCTGCTAGTAGAGCAGATTATTATTAGCATTTATATAGGGCCAACATTTTTCACAGCACAGATGGCAATAAACTGGGCAGTCAAATTGATTATCGTTATATTATTAGCTCCAGCAGCAATCAGTCTGCGAATTTCTAACCTGACTAATACTTTATCATTTCTCCTGTTTCTTGTCACTGACACACTTTACCAACACATTTCATTATACAATTGTGTGACCTAGTGTTCGAATATGGTCAACAGAAACCGACAGGATTAGTGAATGAATACCAAAGCGTGAGCGTTTGACCTAAGTAGGAAAAATGCCCCCAACTCCCAATATCCATATTCAAAACCACCTCACTATTGTCAAAGAGATTACAAAAGTATTCAAGGATTCAAATACATAAAATGTGTGAGTTGGTCAAGTCTTA